AGCTGGGAACTTGGCGCATATCTGCTTGAGAGCGGTGAGACAGCAGTAGGAAGGCGTGTGCATTGCACAGAAGGGTTGTTGTTGTTGTTGTTGTTGTTGTTGTCTTCACATTAAAAACCGTTCCGATCTCTCTCTACCCAGTACCTTCGTAGTCCGTACTGATCCAACACTCGACGCGGTCGATTCCCGTGGTCGCAGGCTAACTTACTCTAAAAAGATACACTCAAATATATGGCCCCGAGGGGTCCGCAAGTCAATAGAAATCAACGACAGATATTCTGGAGTCCTCCAATCCCTCTGCGCACTATGCAAGGTAACAACTGAGACTAGGAGTCACCATCACGGGCCGGAGAGAATGAGGTACACCCCCTTGGTTCAATTTTGGTACTTGACAACGCAAGCAGAGACAAGGCCATCTGGCACACAAAAAGAGATAAAAGGGAAAAGGGAAGAACATAAAAGGAAACAGTAAGGCAAGAGAAAATGAAATATATAGAGCGAGGACAAAGAGGGACTAGGCCGAAAATAACAAGAAGTAAGAGACAGGAAAAGGCACACAGTGGAGAGACCACTCACGACAAGCAAACACGCAAACATGGCCACCAACCAGCGATACATTGAAATGGTACGTCATCACTAGCTAGTGGGGGGTTGGTGCAATGGTGCAGCGTTGGGGAGGGGGGAATTGGCAAAAAGAAGTTCAATCCGGCACGTGTCACGCCACTCGGTCCGTCTCTTCTCGTTTGCATGCTTCCCTCGCCGTCTCGTCCGTCTCCTGCCCCCCTCCCGCCCCATTGGTTGTTGGCTTGTGGTTTCGTTTGAGCGCCCGTCGTCGGCTGGCCTCTTCTTCCTTCTCGTGCCAGAAGGTCATGAACCTCTCAGCTCCCTGCAGCACCGCCGCATGCCAGGGTACTCCCCCCTCCACCTTCGCGGCTTCCGTCCACTTTAACTTTGGTGCCGTGTCTGTCGGTACCGGGATTCCGAGACAACATGGACCGGTTTTCGTAGATCCGTGGTCGGCCCCGAATGCCTTCAGGTCGTCGAGCACACACTTCAGCCAGTTCTGTTCTTGTCACCCCCTACGTCGCTTCTCCCCCCCTGCCAGTTCGCCGAGCATCAGTCGTTTCGGGAGTCGCCCGTCCGGCTGCCTTGCCAATGCTCCCGCGAACAGTAGGCGTCGTTGTCGGATCGTGGCTTCAACGCTCTGAAATTCGACCCTCTTCAGCGTCTGGGCGTAAGAGAGCTGCCGGTAGGTGTCTTTCTTGCGCTTGTACCCGATAACTCGAAGGAGCAGTCGGTGGTGTATCGACCGCAGCGTCTGATAGTGGCCGCTGAGTGGTGACCATGTCATGCAGCCGTACAGCAGTGCCTCCATCGCCTCCGCCTGGAGCAGGCGGATCTTGAGTCGGAATGGCGCTTGCGGTCTGTCGAAGAGCTCCCGGCCATATCGCCTGAGGCACGCCCACGCTCCTCTGCTCCTGTAGTTGATCTCCCGGGTGAGGTCGCCATGTTCGTTGACGAGGCCACCGAGGTACCGGAACTCGGTCGTCTGGGCGTATTTCTGTCCCGCGGCTTCGATGGTCAGTGGTGGAGGCGGGGCAGGCTGTGATGTTGTGGTCGGCTTGTCCTTTGCGCGCATCAGGAGCGTCTCCGTCTTCTCCGACACCGTTAGCCCGAACTCCCCGACCACCTCAACGATGATGGTTATCATTCTCGCTAGTCCTTCTGCAGACCTCGATACGACGCCGG